AAGGTGGAAACAAAGAGAGCTCTGGCAGAATTTCTAGGTGGATCAGGAATGCTCTGTGGCACTCTCAGTGCTGAAATGGCACCTCTGGAATGTTTTAGAGCAGTTTTGTACTCCATCTCTTTAGCAGGATTCGTTGTTTTGGAAATCTCTTGGTAGTGTGTTTGGAGATAGATTGTCTATTTATAAATTGGGAAAATTGTAGTACACCTTTTGTTCCACAGCAGTGAGGGTTATGCAGGTGATAATTAAAGAGAAACATCTGTTGGAGATTGTCAAGGCAAGTTTTACCATGAAAAGCAAGAGGATAACACACACTGGAGGGGAGAACTGGAATGCAAACAGTCTCACATCACCTTGAAGCTGCTGTAGACTCAATTCAACAACTTGTGCCACTGGTTTATGAGCTTTGTCCATTGTGACTGTGGTGGTACCACAGTGACCTCTCCTTGGCCCATCTGGTTTGCTTTTCAAATGAAGGTTGCTCCTAACAATGTCCCAGTTCAAGCTGACGCTGGAGTGCAATTTAGTCATTGTTCACCAATGATTAATCAAGAAGAGATTTCATAATGAAGTCAGCATTAAAATGTATGGGCATGTGGCAAATCAGATTGAATGGCAATATCTCACAATATATAGCATCATATTGTTAGGTTTCTTTTGTGGATTTTGCTCTCCTGGGGACCTGAGTATAGACTGTGATATGCCCAAGCCCCGTTTATTTTACATTTTAAATGATTGGTGGACGATTAAACTTCCATGCTAACTGAAAAATATAATGAAAATGCTAAATTCTGGGCTCCCTATCTAAATATTATTAGCTTTTACATGATGTATTTGGTTCTTTTGTTCTTGCTGACTCACAGTCCATAACCTTTCTTTTGTTAATGAATTTTAATTCCCTGTTCAGTATCCCTAGACAAAAAGGCATTTTGATATGTTAGGATGGGAGGAAAAGAAATAGCTTAAGATAAAATAATGGAGAAGAACTATTTTTAGATGCTGTCATTAAATGTAAACAGAAGTAAGAACCATCACTAGCTGATAAGGAAGCTGATTATATTACAAGTGGCTGCAGTTTTTGAATGGCAGAAGGGAAGTTGCAGCTAAACCTAGATTTTATTGGGTAAAAGTGTTCTGTGTGTGTGCTGTCCAGTGAAGGTCCAGGTCAAGCTCACTTACCATGAATTCCCAGACAAATTTTGAATTTCCAGCATGGAGGAAACAAACTGTGGTTATGTGGATTTTCTATACATCCCTGCCTCCTTCCATTCCAAGTATTTAAAGGCACTCTCAGGCTGGTCTCATGAAAAATTTTGTAACAAGACTATTGCTCAAGCAAATGGTGCTGCAGAGTTTCCAAAATAATAGAATCCCTGATAAACAACTGCAGCTGGTATTTCTAAGAGACTATCCATTTTTAATCTCTGAAAAGCAAATAGCTTGTGTTCATATCCATCTGATAATTCAGGCAAACGATTCCTACAGATGCCAGGGAAGGGGAAAGTGAAAAGGAGCACTGAAAGAAATGAGAAAAGGTGATGATGCCATGCTGTGCAAAAGAGGGAAATTCAGTGCTGCATACACAAATGTTCCACACACTTTGGAGAATGTTTGTGAAGGATTATGTATAATGCTTTAGCATTTAAGAAGTTGTTCTGAGATCTTTTCTGTCCATTGTCTTGAAGATGCCATTTATTTAATCATCCTCAGAAGTCAGCTATGGATAAAAACAGAAGCAAAGTAGCATGATCATCTTACATTTGAAATAATAATTACAATTCTGATTTGAGCAAATTTTTAAAAAAATGAAATAAAAAAGTTTCATCACAAAAGTTCTTCTTGTCATGGTCATCTGAATGCCACTAGAAAATTATGCTGCAATAGAACATGCTAAGGAAAAAGTCTGAGAGGTTTGATTTGATGGAATACTTGTCTTTACAGCAAAACATTGTTATCCCTTGAAGCAAAGTGAACAGAGGTGATTGTAAATGCAAATCCTGTTATGAACAAATGGATCTGCATTTGGGAGGAAAGGAAAGGAAAGTATCTCCTTTCTGTTGTAGACAAGATTGGTATTAATAGACTGATGGGAGCACCTGAACCCTCTCTTTAGTCATCTAGTGAATTCATCTCATTACTGCAATAAAGCCCAAACATCAGCAATATCCTTTCCTTGTACAATTTCAATGGGTAAGTGTAGATCTTCCTTTGAAATGGCAAGAATAAGCTTCTTAAAAATTTTTTTCCTTAAGAAGGGCTGAGAGATGTAACTGTATCAGGGTAGGTCCAAGAGACAATATATACTCAACTTTTGGGTCTCCATTAGATTTTGTTACATTATAGGCATCTACTACTTTCACTAAAACATCCCTAAACTTGCCACTGTAAGACAGCTGAAAAACATTTTATTCATTAAAAAAACAAAGTCCCTGTGGTGTATAGATTCCAAATCCAATGCAATCTGAATTTAAGGTAGCAATATATCTTATTCCAAGAAATGTTTTTCATTAAATCCCTCATGAAAGACTTGGTTGTAGGGCATGAGATCCCCATCTTCTTTAATATGCAGCAAAACCCAGCATGTTTTATTCAACGAGTCAGATCAGTGAGTGTATTCAGACTATAAATTTGTACATTATGTACAGATAAAAAACATACAATGCCAAGAAATTGGCAAAGAAATTTCCAGTTGATTTTTTTTTTCTTTGGGTTTATAAAAATAACTGTGGTGCATCAATTATTCCCTATTGCCATGGATACAAGTGATACTTTATTATATAACTGTACAGCTGTGCTCAGTTCTCATATGAAAAACAGACTTTTTCATCTTTCTATTTCATAGTTACTGAACTGAGATAATAACATCTCCTTTTATCTATGAAATCAATTTCTTTACCATTCTCTGAAGTATTATTGATTAGAATTTCATTAAGGCATTTATAATAAAATCTATAGTAAATGCTTCTGTTCTACTACAAGGATGCAATGGATGAAGGTCATTCTGTTATATATTGCACATGCAACAAAGGTACATAAGAGAAGGCTAGTAAGGTTTAAAATTCAAGCATTCAAAAACTAGATTATTCAAATTCAGTCTGTGTATTTTATATATATATGTTATGATGAAATCTTCAATCAGATAAGTATGTTCTGTATACATGATTTATTTCAGTCTGTTTTAACAAGCAGTAATTCCAACCAAAGAAAATTAGAAGTCTGATATAATTTGACAAAATATATTTCTGATGGGCTTTTCTGTAGAAATTATCACTGTATTGTGGAAACCTTCAGGCACATGATGAAATGTTTCCTCACAGCAGCCCTGGACAGTTGTACCATTTTACAGCTAGGAATGTAAAACTTTAAAATAGCATTATTTCAAGATTGATACTTTTATGGATAGTAAAATTAGAACCCTCCATGAGCTGATTTCTTTCCTAATAAATAGGTCCTTGGCCTTGTGTGGTATTTGAGAGATCCAGAGCATTTCTCTTGCGGAACTGGCTCAGAGTGAGCTGCTGCTGGGATGTGGAGGAGGCTGCAGTCACCAACATCCTCTGGGGATCTGGTCTAGAGCTACCTTGATATTTAGATAGCAACAACCCTGTCTGGCAGCAGCAGGACAGCAGAGCTCTGAGTTACTCTGTGTCCCTTCAACACTTGCATATTGGTCTCCATGGTCATCCAAGTCCTTGTGAGTTGTAATATATGGCTGTTAAAACCTTCTTCGCACCTAATCTGTGCTCCCCACCCGTGTGCCAGATTTCAGAGGTAGAGTTTGTACTGCTTATTATCACTTGGCTGTGTCAGCTTTAAAATCCTTGTGGAACTGACAGCATTAGACTACTAAAAATTGATTTTTTATATGTACAGATATTTTTGCATTAGTTTCAGAAAAGTAGATAGCAGTAAAATTTTTTAAAGAATGTTAAGTGTTATAGATCAAAAAGTGCTTTTTCATTTGCATAGGACAGTGAGTAATAGAGCAAAGTAATAACACCAGTGAGAGAGCAGAGATTCTCACATATGCAAGGGAGAGTTTCGATTTATGCTTGATGTGGCAGAGTGGAGAAGTTGTTTGGGGAGTAAGACCAAAATGGCAAACAGAACTTATGGAGCTATGGCTGACTGTAGTTTGGGGAAAAGTCACAGATCAACTTTTATGTAGTTGTTCACATCATCATTAGTTTTAGGTTTAATATATTTTTCTGTATGTTGCCTTATTAGATTATTAGTATGAAAGGGGAAAGTATAGTTTTTTAGTTTCATGGACAGTTTCTAACAGTAGAAAAATCAAAAAGAAAATCAGTCCTAATGGTCACGTGCCCAAACATCAATGCTCCAATGTTAAAATAAATTTTAGCGTTCACAAATCTTGTATGTTTTACAAAGCTCAGATGAACATCAAAACAGCACAAGTTAAGGTGATCCTTGGTATGCAAGTCTATATTTCCTTATTTTGATTAGGTACAGATCGCTGAAAACCATCCAAGTATGCAAATATATGCAGCCATTAATACTTGTAGATAAGCATACTGTTAAATTGGCTCAGTATGGCTGTAAGCCTGCTCTTTACAAATACAGAGGTATGTAATAGATTTTGTCACTTTGAATAGCTTATTACTGTATATTGACACTTCCTCTTTTTGGATGGCACTGCCACAAATGACATAATGAAAGAAATTAAACTTATGGTGACCCACTTTAATATCTCTCCTTAGGCTTTCTCCCAAGCACTGGAGATTCTGTGGACAGGGTGATATCTGTGTATGAATCCACAGCTCCACAGTTGCACACACTCATTTTTTAGTTTTGACAAGTTTGGTGGTGGGTTAGGATCTTCCTGAATATCAATTTATACATGCATAAATTGTAAGAAATAATTTAAAATGCTCTATGGCTTTATGTTAATGTGTGTGTGTGTTGTAACAAAGATCAGTTGGAGACTCTCTTTGCAGAATCTTATTTTCAGTTACTTCTCCTTTTTCCTGAACTTGTAGGCAGGAGTTATCTGGAGTGGGTGCTTTGTGCTGATGAGCATTGCTACAGTCCCATTAGATTTTATGGTGAGTCAGGAGACCTATTTCCTTCATACCACTCTTAGTGAGGGATACTGCTGCATTGGGAAACTCTCCTTTCCTTTCTACTTCACATAAATCTCTTTTGCCTATTGTGTACTGAATTAGGAGATGGTTTTCATTTTAAATGCCTGGCTTCCTGGACTGTAGATTACTAAAGATGAACTTTATTGTTCCTGAAGTGCTTTAAGATTCACAAATTCCATCCTGTGAAGGTGAGGAGTGATGCCTCTTGCAGACTGACTGCCCCCATGCACTGCAAGCGACAAAAGTAAAGAACAATTATTTGTTGAAAGAAACGTGTTGTTATTAGAAAGGACCAAAAACAAGGTGAAGGGTGAAGTTGAAATTTTATTCTAAGGCACATGTACTGGATTGGGGAGTTGGTTTAAGCACAGAAGGGTTTGCTGCAGTTGGAAACCAGCATTATCACAGCAATTAGCCTTGGGCATTATCTTCCCTCTCCTATCTCCTGTTTAGATCATATATCAGCACCAGTGGTTCGTGTTGTACTTGTAAGTAATGTACATCAAGCCTATTCCACTGCTCCATTTTTCCATTATAATGCCTGTTTGACACCCTATTTAAAATGCATTTCATTTTACACAAAATAATTATTCAACTATTAATTGTGCACTCATCTTTCCTTCAGTGCTCTTTGTTATCTGATTATGTTGAATTCTATTCTGTATATTACTGACTTCCAATTCTGTTACATACTAAACAGAGCCATTAGGAATCCTGTTTATAATGGTGCCATTAAAAATGATGTGCTGTCAAGAGTATCTTATAATGACAGTAGGGAACGTGTGTTTTCAAAGATATTTAATGACTATATGGTTTTAAACTGCAATGGAATATTTTTAATGGGTTCCAATACAATAAATCAATCATATATTTCTTGACTTAGTTAAATTATAGTCATGATAGCTCTGGTTTATATAAAACTGCACAGTTCACTCTGGAATATTTTCCCTCTCCCAGCCTTTGACCGTTGTTTAGGTTTTTATGTTAGAGAAGTATTTATCTGAAAGACTATTTTCTGGGTGATGTTTGTTTTACTAGATTTGTACCATGATTAAATAGCTACAATACAAAACAATTTTCATGTGTAATTTTAATTCTAAATGCAAGACAGCACCAGAAAATGTACAAGGTCTTTGAAAGGAGAACTTTTGCCCGTAGTCATTAGGACTTGAGATGATTCTCAGCGCACCAGGAGTGCTGTGCTGACATGGAGCACAAAGCAAGAGGGAATCTGCACCTGGCTGCATCCAGGGCAGCAGCAGTGACTGCAGAAGGCAGTCTGGGGTGGGGAAAGCCTTGGTGGGTCCATAACTGAGGAATTTAAAAGCAGGGAAGAAGTGCAGATATCCCAGACTGCTGTTCCATCCCTGAGATACTCCTGATATACCTTTCTGAGCCAGGTGATTACTTTTGATATTTGCATCATGAGACAGAGAACAGAACTTTTCTTCTTTCCCTTTCTTCTTGCAACCTCTTACACCTGAGTGTGGCCATCATGTTTTAGGGCAGGAGATAAAATGCAGTAATTATTATTATGGGACTGATCAGTGGAGTACTTAGTTTGCTAAGTCTCACATTAGAGTTTTTTTTTGTACTCTCATACGTTCTTTGATAATCTGGTGGCAAACTTTCACCAGTGTTGGGATTCAGCTTGGATTTGGTGTAGCATCATAGGTCCTATGGGTTTGATTGTTTATTTTTGTATTTTCTTCATAGTCTTCTGACACACAGCCCATTTGTTTGGGTTTTGTGTGCAGAGAACTTAATTCTTAATGAAAATTATCTTTTGATGCATTATTTCTCTGTTGCCTTTGCCACTCCCATGGCAAATGCAAGTGATTTTTTTCTTCTTTTGCTATTTCTTTTTTAGCAAGTCAGTTGCAGGGTGATCACTTTTCTTTATAGGCATGTACATGGACATTTTTTGTGAAAATGTCTTTTCACTTGGCAACTGCAAATTAATTCTCATATGTTGTGTATAGGATCAGAGCCTTTCACTAATGCTAAACTAAGGTATAGTTAAACCAAGTTGTGAGCAGTAGATCTTGGACCAGGATGCTGATTCCTAATCTTGTTTCAGTCACACTGTATAATTTTCAGTGTTCTGATGAGAAAGAAACAGCTTTTAGAGCCATTAACTCTTTATTAATTTTCTTGTAGCCTTTTTTTAAAAGAAAATTGTGCATTTGGAGCCCTCAGAAGTGAAGCTTTTATCTGTTTATTTTTTTTTACTTTTTGCTCTATACATTTTTGAGATTAGGCTGTGATAATATCACAGAGCCTAACTGAAATAATTCATGAGTATTTTTAGTAGGACAATCCACTGAGGAGAGAAAATTGGTTGAAATTCGATGACAAGAGCAAGATTTGGCCATATGGCCTAAAAAGCAAGATAAAAATGAAGAAATGTGTACATAATTTTTTATATAATTAAATTAGAGCAAACAAATGTTACTTGAATTACATTTCTATTATTATTATTTTCATCTTAATTGAAGGATACCAAGTCTTCATTTGACTTGAAGAATAATTTTAGATCATCTTCTATTTTTACTTTACAGTAATTTATCATGCTGCCAACTAATTTAAAGCTTAAGAGAATTAGGGAGAAAACAAGAATACTTTATTATTCTAGGTCACTGTTTTAAGATTAGTACAGATTAATTAGAAATTGAGAAGGAAGTTCATAAAAGGAGATACATCTCTTTACAGCCCTTTTTTCTGTCCACAGCTTCTGAGGTTTGCTGTATTCACCAGTCTTGTTTTGGGTAGACTTGTGTCCTTTTTCTTGGAGGTTTTTGTAGCATTGCTTCTCCCAGAACAATATTTTGAATAATTGTTCTTAAACTCTCATTTGGAGTGAAGTTCATCAGAAGTGTATTAATGTATAATTCATTTCTGTCTCAACCTGAGTTAGGGATGAATATGTAAATTAATATTCTGGACCAGCCAAGAGGGTAAGAACCTTTTAAATGGGATCAGTGTGTATGAACAGCTGCAGGTGTTTCTCTCTTCATTGTCAGGTGTTATTTTCTCTTACAGGATAAGACACAGGTTGTTGGCTGCAGTATAATCTATTTCACTGCAGAAGTTGTGTTATGATTATACATGTCCCAGAAATGCTCTGTAGTTAATGACAGTCATGCACTTTGACCCATGTGATTTTTTTCTGGAATTGTTTTAAAAAAAATCTAATTACAAAACCACATTAAATATCATGCAAAATAATGGATTAGAATCCAAATTAACATTAGGTTATTAGACTAAAGCTACTAATGCAGTGGCTGAACCTTGCAAAATGATTTTAACAGAGCTTTGGCTGTTTCTATCATGGATCTTTTACATTAAATTTTCCTTAAACACATTATTAAGCAAAGTAATAATCCTGTGACATAATTCTGATTAATAATGTGAGGTATTGCACAATGAACTCGGAGTTAAAGTTCATTCTTTTTGTGTTGATTATCATTATAGGAGACACATCAGGTTTGAATATTTATTTACCTATGACTCTGACCCAGACTTCAAATGCACAAATTTTCATTGGTGTTGAAAAAAAAAAAAAACCCAAACATTATAGAATCTTCCAATACTTAAAATATTTTATTACATTTCTCAGTTCTTTCCACCACATTGTATTCAGAATAACCCCTTGTTTTATTCCTTGTGCCTTTTCAACACTAACAGGAGCCACCCACATGAAAGGTCAGATTTTCAAAGGAGCTCAACACCTGAAAGCTTCCCTAAATGAGCCTTGAAAAGGATTTTCACACCAATGACAAAAATGTGGCAGACCATTTTTCCATACAACCTTTCATCCCAGATACACAAAATACCCCTTTAGGAGTGGAGCATTGCTCATTAGTCTCATGGTAGGAACAATGAACTAATATTTTTCAGTGTTCTAGGTTAAGATTGGAGATTTATATTCTTTGATAGTAATCAATGAATATTGAAAATTAACCTAGCTTTCTGCAATTGTAACTAAAAGCTATTACAGTGCACGATTTGTTTTTCAAAAACCTTGCAGCCTAATGGATTTAAAAATGTTAGGAAACACTGAGCTGCATAACAATAGCATGGTAACTGGGTGCCTCCTAATGAGATACATAAACAGACAGCAAATGTTGCAGGAAACCCTCTGCTGAAAGCAGAGTTCATAAATTTCAGCCCTGTGGGGATTAAGATGACTCCCTGCAACTCAGATACAATCACCCAGAGACAGATTTATGGCTGAGAACACTTGTTTGATAGTAGATACCGAAGGCTTTGGAAGATAAAGCATGGCTGAGGTTGTCTGTACTGCGGATGTATGTTGGGGACTGAGAACCCACTCCTGTGTGAGGGACTCCTCTAGGGGATGACAGGGCAAATCTGTGAGGCTTTAGCAGACCCCATCCAAAGCCCATCCCAGATGGCTGGGATTCTGCCTGTGCACAAAGCAAGCTCCAGGCTGGGGAACTTGGTGGGCAGAAATATAGGGTGAGGTATTAGAAGATGAAGGAATTATTGTCTTAGATCTAAATGCCTAAGTTTTATTTTAGTCTAGTCCAGATCTGGGCCTGATACACTGAGATTAAATAGGTCACATACATATCCAAGATATGTATCACCAGAGGGCAGTGCTAAACTGGGAACTAAAATTTTATTTTGATGTGTAATTCATGCATATGGGAAAAAGCTGCTTTTGTTCTGCTTCAAATATTAGTCTTTAAAAACATATTTTATTGTAACTAGTATGTGACTGATTTAGGAGCAATGAGAAACATGATGATTTTAATTGTTGCAAGGAACGGTAAAACACTGCTTGTTGGAGTTCAGAAAAAAGATTTTGCTCTGAATTGCTCAGATCCTGAAATATATTTCATTGGTTCTTCTTCTTAAGAACATTGCAAGAAAGAAGTTAGTTGATGTATCCTGTGCTTAAGCTCTTCAGAAGCCCTGGTTTTCTCTTTCAGAGGGTGGGAAAAGGCATGCTCTGTCCTGTGCTGCTCATCCAGGGAAATCAGGAGCTGTGGCCTGTGTCACGTACAGAGACACGGCACACAAAGAGTTACTGCAATTTGCATAAAAATGCCAGGAAAGTGCAAACGCTCTTTCATTAATATGAATGAAGTTCACAGGATATTTACAAATTACACAAAGCCCTCCATTTAAAAATATATATATTTGATGCAAGTCACACATGGTGTGGATGTGAGGCAGTTTCTGATACTGGCATAACGTGGGGTGACAATGAGTAAATAATAATGGCTGTCTTCATCTTCATTGAGGCAGCAACTTGGATTGGGCACTGACAGTAACAGATGTAGCTGTGGATATTAGTTGAAATGAACTCCAGTGTAGTATATCACAGTAATAGGCTTTGTCAATATGAAGCATGCTGGAAAAGCAGGGACTTAAATCTGCATGAGGGAGTGGAAAAAGGGTCAGATGCAAAAGGATGTGTCTTCTGTGCTGATGTGAGGCTTCTGCCTTTCCAGGGAGTGTGATGCTCTGTACACAGGGAATAATGAGAGTATGAAACATTAGAAGTATTTTATTAATGAAACACTGTTTTCTTATTAGTCTGTGAAAATGAGAAGCATACTGTGTCTATGGAAATAGGAATCAAAACTGTGATCTACTCTGCAGTAAAACCATACA